CTTGGGCAGCCCGGCTCTTAAACAGAGCCGAAGAGTCGGGAAGGAGCAGAGCCGCCGCGGGAGGGGAAGTGCCCGGCCAGCATTTTCCCGGACATGTTCGGCTTTTTGGCAATTCCCCCCGGACAGCGGGTTGAGTGCCGAAAAGCTGGACATGTCCGGGAAAAAGAGGACGTATGGTAACCCTAATACAAGGGGAGCCCAGTGTCTTGTTAGAGTGAGCAAGAGTCAAACTGACTAGAAACAAACGTGAAACTGACCAGCCAGGTTTGTCCTGGCTGAGAGAAATGCAAACCGGCAGAATAGAGAGAATCAAGAGGAAGTTTTGAACCTTCCCGTGACTTCCCACACTTGCAGGGGTAATGGCTTTTGTGTGCTCCTCCTAATGATCTGAATCCTGGGTCAGGATATTCCACTCCAGTTGCACCTTGCAAAGCATGAATTGGAATCACTAACAGGAAGCTACAAGAAGTAAGTTCAGCAGGACTGGGGAATTGTAATGTCCTGGTGCTCTGCAGAATGTGTGTGTGTATGTGTAGAATTTCCAGCCCAGATCCTCAACTGGTATAACCTGGCATAGCTCTATTGAAGTTAATGGAGCTATGCTGATTTAGGCCAGATCTTTAGCTGGTATAATGTCTGTAAAGAGATGTGGCCGTGGGAGGAATACCTCTTGTATTATATTGTAGATGAGGCCAAATGCCAGGAGAAATAAATACTACTTTCTGACAAGTAGCTGTGGTCAAATTTTTCTCTCGAAATATTGTGAATACGAATACCTAGCTTTTGTACAGCATTTTTCATCAAGTCTTAAAGCACCTGACAAATGTACCCTTTCTTCTGACTGTAAATGGTTCATGAGGTTTAAGTGGGATATTAGTCTTTGGCAGACTTTGTCCTGGCCCTTGGCATGGGGGTGAATTTCAATCTCTAGACACATCTGCCATTGACATCATCAGAAATTCTGCCCAGAGGGTTTGATCTTACGCCTGTTGGAGTTAATGGGAAAGCTCCTGTTAATTTCAGGGTGGGAGAGGGGAAGATGACCCTTTGTATATAAGCCGAGGGTTCACACTGACAGCCCACCCAACAGAACTAAACAGTAAAGCTGGTTGGGAAGTGTTTTGGATAGAAAATGCTGATTTGTTGACACCAAAATCTTTTGTGGAAATGTCCTGGTTTTCATGGGAAGGCTTCGCAGGTGCAGGGTGGGATTTCTGGTCAAAAGGAGAGACAGCAAGACCCCAGGTCAGTCAATAGGCTGCGGGTCAGGGAGGGCACTCACCTGGGATGTGGAAAACCCAGGTTGAAGTCTCCACTGCAAATCAAAGCAGAGCAGGGCCTTCATCTTCCACCGAGCAGGTCAGGGCCTTCACCACTGGGCTATGCTGTAACCAGCTTTTTGCAAAGCAGAATTCTCGTTTTCCAGCCAGCCCTATTAAGTGGACGGATTCACTAGAGAAGTGGGTCTCAACCCGTGGCCCATGGCTGCTTGCAGCCCAATCAGCACCCAGGTGCAGCCATGTGATATCCGCAGGGCCATACGGGTAGTGTATATATACTGTTTCAGAGTAGCAGCCGTGTTAGTCTGTATCCGCAAAAAGAAGAACAGGAGTACTTGTGGCACCTTAGAGACTAACAAAGTCTCTAAGGTTAGTCTCTAAGGTGCCACAAGTACTCCTGTTCTTCTTTTTGTATATACTGTGTGGATGGGGGGCCCACAACACATAAAGA